AAGTAACTGCAAAACAATCAAGGCTTCTCCTTTAAGCACATCTTTTAACTCTGCTTGGGTTAGCGGGGTAACACTGCCAACTCACACTTGTAATAAAATCCACACGTTAGAGCAAAGCCCAAAGAGTCCAGGTGTGGCCAAGGTTTGGTTTGATCTAGTATCTGTAGGTACACTCTCAGGTGGCAGGGTTGTCACTCTGCTGCACTCCCAAAGAGGGATCACCTCCTCACACAAGGGCTGTTCAGGTCACACACTAACCAGGGCTGAGATCATACACAGGCTGCCATCAGAAACAGGACAGGAAGGGGTGGGGGAATTAGTTTTAGGAGATCCCAGATGTGCTCCTCACAGCAGATTGAGGATTCTGGCTATCATTATCCAGACAGCAGCTGAGAGCAGCACCCTTCAAGGCCTGGAAACACTACCATACCCAAAGCGTCAAAAGCTCGGTCATACATTCCACCTAGACACCACTCTGAGCACTACCTCCACAGCTCTGAAAAGGGGATGCAGAGGGCCAGAGGCTGTCAGGTCTAATACACAAAGAAAGAAATCCCACTGGGCTGGGAGAACCTGAAACCTGTCCTGAAGTAGGAATGCTAATGTTCAGGGTTTCTACAAAGTACCTTAGAACCCCAGAATGGACAACAACGAATGATTCTCTGCGCGCATGATAAATCCAAGACGTTTGGAGAAAGGGCACTGGTCTCCCACAAGGCAGAAACTATTCCTTCTTTAAAGCTGAACTCTTTAAGAGCCAGCTGTCCAAGCACAGGCAGCCCTGCAGGCCGACACAGTGTGCAAGCTACAGCCACTGTCAAGCACTAGGTGCACGCTCAAGAAGTTGACATGAGCCCACAGTGACAAAGAGGTGGAAGCAGGCATTTTAAACAGCAGGCCTCAGACCAAAGCAAAAGAGCTGAATGCAGGAGCTAAAGAAAATCACACACAATGCCATTTGCTCACACTTGCTGGGGTCCCACCCAAGGCACATGCCCTCATTTTAGGGGGGAGGAGGGGGGGAAAATCAGCCTCTGGCATCTATTGCAAAGCTGTTATTTTCAAGGGAGTCAAGAGCTCCTCTCCTGGAAGGACAGGGGTTATCCCCAGTGAAGAATTTCCAAGGTCCCACTGGAAGGCTTTGGCGCACACCATTCTCAAGGGAAGTGGCAGAAGATGGAGGATGAGGAACTATCTTCCTGCTTGTTTGGGATCTCCCAGCCCACTCAAACCAGCTCTTTGGACATAGCCCACCTCCTCTTGCTAAGGTAGGTAAGCATGAAGATAAAGCAGATCCCTGCACTACATCTTTGCTAGCAGGCGGACCCAGAGGCGGCATAAAAATGACTGTATGGAGATACTGGATTCAAACCAAGCCATCTGTCTGTGAATTCTGCGGCTTTGAAGAAACAAGAGCCTCATTTGTTGTAGAAAGGTAAAACCTATTATTTTAGGTTCAGTCTATGGAGAGACCTGAAATCTGCAGCCAAGCGTCTATGAAAATTACAGCTGTCAGACACTTCGCAGCTACACTGAAGTACATTACAAGAGGTCCTCAGCAAATACCTAGCTATCACTAGGCCTTCCTTGGACACTGAACTGGATTTTGTCTTTTGGAATTAACTGGGCCATGCAGTTTTGCCAGACTGTGACAAAGCACTGGAGTGTTCTGCTCAAGTGCTTCTGCTGGGGCTGCTTTGTCAAAGCTCTATTCTTGTAACAGCTGTTACAACAACTGGAGATTTGGCACCCCTGCACAGAGGTATAAGCAGGTTCACTCCCCACACAGATAGCTATCACTTTCTCCTGGGATATGAGGCTGGAAAAATAAGTTTAATCTTTTCTTTTGGACCAGACAGAAAGAAAGCAGTTTCCCAGAAATCAAGGCAGCAGAAGAGGGTTCCTTTTACAGCTATTACTACTTTTCTCTTGATTCTCCAAAATGTAGGTGTACATGATTGCTGCACAAGGTTGGCACTGGAATCCCTAATGCTAGAGCTGTGAGACTTGTGTTCCAGAAGGTCCTGGTGTCACTCAGGAAGTGGTTAAGATATCAGGAGGGGATACAAAGAAGCCAAAGAGTTTGACTCAACACAGTCTCTGGACTCGGGGCTGATAATGGCATCAAGTGTAGACTCTGATCTAGGGGATGTCAGAAAACACTGATGACTCTTGGTTCTCTTGCCAGCTGGGTCTAGCAAGAACAGATGATTGATTAAACACAGGTACAACTTCACACTCACTAGGATAAATAATATCTTGGGAAGCCACTGGCTTCATGTCCACTTGGATCAAAGTACAGAATTCTTGCTGGAGAAACCTCTTCCCTCCCTACTTTCAGTGGCTCCAAGGGGCCACTGAATTGTTCTCCTTGGTTTCATCTTTAGACCCTGGAAAAAGCTTCAAGGGTTCTTATGAGGCCCCTTTGGAGAGGATCCTCTCTAGCCTGGGAAGCTGCACTACAGGAGGCTCAGAGGCTACACTATTTGTACCTGGGAGTTCTCCTTCCGAAAAGGTCTCCTGAACTCATGTGCTATGCTATCAAGAATGAAGTCATTGGCCTTTTTTGATAGCATCTTGCAGGCATCACAGCCATGGGCTCAACATTCATCCTTAAGGGGTAAGCAGTACTACCTGGGCCCAATAAGAAGCAGGGGAAAAAAACAAGGGGGAAAAAAACAGAGCAAGGAGAATGACCAAGGACATTTTCTTAGACTGATCTTACCACCTTGGGCCCAAAGGGAGCCCAAAACCAGAAAGATTTCAAACCAAACCAAGGAGCTACAAAGCAAAGACGTCTCAAGTGAATCCTCTGCCTCTAGGAATGATTTCTTGACAATTATCAATGGGGAGAAAGACACACACTTGGTTCTGTGACTACTCTAATGAACACACACAGAAGTGAGCAGGGAGCGGAGGGACCTGGGGTATTTATAGCCACTTCCTGTGGAATGCACATGCCAAAACCACTACTGTTTCTCCAAAGGGTTATACCACTACATCCACAGCTTCTCCTGGAACAGGGCCCCAGGGGGCAACTTCATGAAGACACAAACAAGCTTCTTACAGGAAAGAAAAATAAGACTGGCACACGCAACACTTGGCATCCGAATAGCAGGGGTTTAAAAGACTGGACCGGTTTAAGCTGTGGCTCTAGATGCACAGGGTCCTGCAACACCAGCCTACTGCCAGATGCATACATTGAAAGGGATGACTGAGACACTTACCTGGACCTGCTGTGGCTGCTGGACCTGTATTTTCCGCTCTTTCTGG